ATGCATTATTTGATGATTCAAGGCTAGGAATCAAGAGCTTAACAAGCCTAACTATGAGATAGAAGATATACTCACGTTTTTGAAGCTTGGGAGGGGGTTCACGGTCCAAGAACTAGTAGGTGTTCTTGGTGTTCTTGGTGAAAATGAAGAACACTTGAAGATCTAACCAAAAGAAGAGATTTCATGGATGAAATCATGTATCTTTACTAGATATAGAAGGATATCAACTTGAAAATGAAAATATTACTTACTAGATTGAAGATCAAGATGAAAGTTCTTGATGATACATGAGAGAGAAGTCTAGTTCTTGAGGTGTGATGGTGAATAATGAAGAATAAGGATGGAATATCATGTTTAAGGAATGAGTTTACGGCCACCTTGAGTTTACGGCCGTAAACTCATATGGTGTGGCCTTAAACTCCACATGATGAAGTTTTATGGCTTGCTTGGTGCATAATGGACCCAAGCAGATACTTCCTAACACCCGATCCTTGGTGGTACTAGGCTTAAAACGCTCTAATTGACTCTAAACAATGCTAGAAGATAGCAAAACGAGTCCAACCTTAATTGATTTGATTAACTGTACTGGATAGAAATTTCGAGTTGTCACAGATTGCTAGTCGGATTCTGAAGTCATATATGCAACTATAGTTATTAGACTTATCCAAGTGGGAGAGTGTTGGATATAGTGTCTAAGTCCATAACTATATTTGGTATGTACTTGACCCGACCCGGCATGGTCCATTTGGGTTGCATGGCATTGCAATACTTGGATAGACCAAAATGAGAGAAAGGACACTTAAGGTTTATTAATATATTATAAGTACTAATATATTAATAATATTATTTCATTAGTATTGATCAAAGAATTAATATTGAATTAATTAAGTGTTCAAAAAGTGACTAATTAAATATATGGGGTTGATTGTGTAAATAATCTATTCTTGTATAGTGGGCTAATGATCCATGGTTTGTATGGATTGGGTTAAAACCCATAAGGTGCTCCATGGATAGTCCATGGAGGTTACAAACCCATGGATCATGGAATATGGAAAGCCATGACAATTAGGGTTTACATGGTGTAACCCTACTTGTGCCACAACTATATAAAGACCCCTAGACTAGCAAAATCGGCACTACTACAAGCAAGTAAGAGGGCTAGCCGATTTTTTAGTATAGTGAACTTCTCTCAAGGTTATTCCAAGAATTGTGGTGTTGTGTGAAGCATTTGAGGCATCACATTTGGGGTGCTAGGCTCACAAAGTCATCAAGGAATCCAAGCTACTAAAAGGTATGTTATTCTACTTGAGTTTTGTATTACAAGTTCCCCATAACATGCTAGATAGGAAGTAAACCTTGGAAAATCAAATTTGCATGTATTTAGAGAAAACATAGATCCAAGGTTTCTAGGGTTACATGTACACCATAGGAGTGTTAGAATGTTCAAAACCCAACAAGAAATTCTTCTGGAGTGGTTGGGTTAACGACATTTCAGATTAAGGGATTAATGATTAAGTTCTTATTGTATTTTGCCCTTCTTGGACCTAGGGTATGAGATCTTGATCTATTTGGGTGGCTTAATGGATAAAGTTCGAAAATTTATCCATTTAATCCATAAAATGGACCAGATCTGAGCTTTGGAGCTCTTAGAATAGAAGGAAATGGTTTAACCCATTAAGCTGTTAAAAACCCAGTGCCCACGGTGTGGCCTTGGGTCACCACGGCGTGGCGGCTGGGAAATGCCCGACTGTTTTGTTAAATGAGGGCCATGGCGTGGCCATAGAAGGCCACAACGTGGTGGTTGAAAAAATTCAACATTGACTGTTGACTTTTTTACTTGAGTCGAATTTTGGTCAAACTCCTAGTTTTGGAAGAAGAGCTAAGCGCTTGCCTTATGTAACTGTATAAGTGGTGCATATCATCGATATTTTTGGCAGTGAGAGAATTAGCAGTTGAGTATCGACTGAGAGGTGAGTCTTCTCACTGTACTTGTGGATCTAAGGCACCCATACCGACCAACTGGATTGTGCTATGTAGGATGCTACCTGTCTTTGTGACTCTTGCATGTATGATTGGGTTGAAATATACCCTAGGGCTAGGCCCATGATTATATGTTTGGGTTGAAAGAAACCCCAAGGTTGGGCCTATTATTGCATGTTTGGGTTGAAACATACCCCAAGGCTAGGCCTATGATTGTATGTTGGGTTGGAATATACCCCAGGGTTGGGCCCATCTTTATGTATGGTTTGTTGTATTTTGGGGAACTCGCTAAGCTTTGTGCTTACGATTTTATGTTTATGGTTACAGGTATTTCCGGTACGAAAGGAAAGGGCCCGACGTGATCGCACTACATCCCCCTTATCACCACAAGAATTAGGAGTATTAGGGACGTCTCTTTTTGAGACGACAAGACCTATAGCGACGACACCAGACAAGCCACGCTTGGTGTCGTCGCTAATAGCATCGTCGCTAAAGGTATGCACCGGAGATCCGTCAGAGACACGCCACTTTCAATCCTGGCCCTTGGTTCGGAACATCATCTAACGGATAGGGTTTATTCCTGTGGAAGGCAATAGAGACGACGCCTTTAGCGGCGACATGTTGCCGCTATTGGTGTCGATCCGTTGATCCACATTGGACGAAATCTTGGCCATATGATTCTCACCCGATCCAACAGTCGACAATCCCCAGAAAGGGCGCGTTGAGTTCCCTATAGAATGTCGCCGCTAATAGCCTCTTTGTCGCTGCTATTAGGGTCTTCGCTAAAAGGTCGCCCCTTTTGTTCATCTTCCTCTTCCCAGACGACATATGTTCTGTTACCATCTCCTATTGCGACCTGTATCTCCGCTAAACGGTATCTCTGGCGATGATTTGCGACATCACCGCTGACGGCGCTGCTTTTCACCACCGATTGACCTCTGAAGCCAACTCCCACCGCCAATATAACCTCCAAAGCTAACTACCACCTCCATTGCTGACTGTCACCTCCGATTATGACCTAGTATCTCCGACGAGGTTTGTTTTCTCTACCCATTTCTCTTTCTCTTCTCTTCTGAACACACATCACCACCACCGATTCCGATTACGACTGAATGATTTTTTTTCTGTTTTTAAGTTCCTAGTGTAAGGACACACATCACCACCGATTGTAGCTTCGTTTCTCCGGTCAAGAACAAGTTAGTTTGATCTGTTTAACTTCTGAATATGTATTGTATGCATGTGGATATCTTAATCATTATATGAATTTTGAATGTATATGTAAAATTTATTGAAACTATTGAGTGTGGATATCTTCATCATGGTATATATATATATATATATATATATATATATATATATATATATGAAACTATTGACTGTGTATCATGGGATTTTCAGTTGTGTTTATATGATTATATGATTTAATAATGTTTAGGTTTTGTTCAAAATGTAGATTTTTCAGGTTATTAGAATGATAGTGGTATGCAGTCCCAAGAGAGGTGGTCTTATTTCTTTATTTGTTTAATGCTATATCAAAAATGTTTTTTATTGAGAGATGAAGAATATTGTTTTGGTTGAATGTTAGTAAATTCATTTTACCTTTTTATTTGGAGATAATCACAAAAATGGGTCGTTATATATTATACTAATCGATTCAGTAACACAGCCATCTGTATAAAAAAAATATGATAGTTATCATTCAATAATACAACCATAATAAACTAATTATATTATTTATAAATTAGTTATTGAAATATTAATCACTTTAAGTAAAAATTAGATTAAATGAATCTTTTTATGAAAACAAAAAAAAACAAAAAAAACTACCGATTATATATGAAAATTTGAACTCAAAAAAGTAAAAACAAATAAACAATCTTATTATGAAAACAAAAATACTTAGATAAAAAATTGGATTAGATGAATTTAACGCATCGAAAAGCACTTTAAGTGTATTGACATTTAGAGTTTGAGACATTGCAATCTAATCAAATATATTATTATTTTATCATTATAATTTTTGTGATTATTATAATCCGACAATTAGTTAACTAACACTACAAGAAAAATCATGAGTAGCTACGGAAAATTTTTACGGAATCAAAATCCGTAGCAATTTTAGTACGGAATATGCTACGGAATGACTTGTTGTAGCTATAATGCTACGGAAATGGTTACAGAATTGCATTCCATAGCTAAATCCTAAATAGCTACGTAAAGTTTCTACGGAATTAATATCCGTCGCTATTCTACTATGAAATATGCTACAAAATGGTTGGTCGTAGCTAATTTGCTACGCAAATAGCTACGAAATTGTATTCCGTAGCTAAATCATGAATACTTGTTACGAAATTGAAACCCGTAGCTATTTTACTATAAAATAAGCTACATAATTTTTGGTTGTAACTAGTTCGTTATGGAACTTATTATAGAATTCATATTCGTAGCTACTTGGCTATAAAATTCGTTACGGAATCAAAATTTGTAGCTAGTTAGCTACAAAATTGAAATCCATAGTTATTTTGTTATGAAAATTTGCTACACAATAAAATTCTGAAATTAATCTAAAATGAAACTTGTGACGAAAAGATTAATCGTAGTTATTTGTGTATACGACTGGTTTCGGAACTTGCAAATAACTACGAAATCAAAATCCGTGGCTATTTCTTTACGAATTATTCCGTAGTTAAATAGCTATGTAATATCTTTCCCGTAGCAAAATATATAAAATTATTTTAAAGGGAAACTAGTAAAAATCTTAAAACAAAAGAAGAAAATGATATCATCATAATTTAAAAAGTTATACTTTTTTCTTAATTACCTAAATAAAAACTATATATATATATTACGTCTCATTATTTATTTTTACTTAAGCTACTTTTCCCCAAATCATCGCGGTAACCCCGTTCAGTGTTCCCTCGTTTTCTCTCTTTGACTTCGGTGGAAGCAGCAAAATTTTCCCCAAATCATATCATACGTATCACATTTTCACATTTGGAAGCAGCATAAGGCGATCACGCATGAAAAGGAGTATCTATGACCTCGGTGGCGAAGTTGATCCGAACATCTCAGTCATCTGCGGTGTAATTAGGGATCTTAAAGGAAACGGCGACATGTGATTGTGCAGCGAGGGTGTTGATCTCAAATGAGAAACGGTTCGATCAAATGGCGGAGGGAAGGGACGTCCGTGAGATGCAGTCTAGCAACCGTTCAATTCTCACCTCCCTCAACCTAAAATCGTACTCTCTCTCTTTCTCTCTCTCTCTCTTACTTCAATTGTAGTCCAATAAGCCAATTGACTTAGGGTTTTACATGGATTGGTGTTAAAATTGTTAAACAATCGATTTTTTATTCAAAGCACATTGAATAGGAATTGAATTCTGCCTACTAAGTTGTCGTTATAACGATATAATTTGTAATTTCTTCGGCGATGTTCTAGTATAATCTGTTTAATAAATCTTGTTCAAGAGTTGAATGCGAGAAACAGAACAGAGTATGTAACATGATTTTTGTTTAAGCCAAATATTGTGTTACTGAATAAAATTATGTAAGTTTTCCCTTAAAATTACTTGAATACAATAAAAAATTCTCAGTATTATGCCTCTCCAAGAGTCTGGTTTCTGAGAATAGTAAAGCATCTGATATTCTACTTTGTTTCTGTATGCGTAATCTTTATTATCTCAGATAAAGTCAAGCATTGCTGGAAAGGATACTGTTAGGGAGGATGATTTTGATGAACTGACTTCCGATTCCATAGTTAAAGATTATGATATATCAAGCATATCAGGTTCAGAAAATGAATAAAACAGAGAATTTGACAGCCTCAGTGATTCAACTAAGGGATTGGTGGGAAGTATGAAGCAGAAGATTTTTATGCATCTATCCAATGGAGAAACGATTTTATTCTGGAAGTGCTTGCTTCTTGGGGAGGTGACTCTGAGAAAATTCTCTTTGAACATGATTTACATGGGTTTACAAAGGACGATAATACCCCTTGTGTGACAGTGAAGGAACATGATTTTTGTTTAATAAATCTTGTTCAAGAGTTTAATAAATCTGTTGATGCTGTCAAGCATAATTTCATTGCTATGAAAGTTGACCACATGAAGGTGCAATTATATTTGGTGACTTGGTGAGTCTAATTTGCATAATTTTGTTGATTCTATTTTTTTTTTTTTATACTTATATTGTCTACTTGTTTTTTTTTCTCAAGGGTTTTGAATCTGACACCCTACAAGGGGTAAGTAAAGTAAAAGAAAAGAAGAAAGATTGGTCCTTTTTTCATGCTGATGATTGTTGGTTGTTTCTGTTGTGACATTACAGGAGAAGGTGACGAAGCAATCCTTGATGGAGTTAGCAATGCAGGAGCAAGTTAGAGAGAGGCAGGAAATGGAAAAGAAGATGTAAAAACTAATCAAGACCATGGATCATTTTAAAAGAGCCAAAAGGGAAGAGGCTGCACCTCTCATTGAAGCTACTTTCCAAAGATGTTTGGCTGAAGAGAAACTCCGCCATGAACACGAACAACAGGTAATCTACTTACTCTGTAAAATAAAAAAAGATGTAAATGCCCAAGTTTACTTGCTAATTTATGTTTTGCATGCAGCTTGAGGTTGAACTGAGCAGAGAGCGTCAGAAGGAGATTTGAAGGAGAAGTATAGACTTGCTCGTGTTATGGAACATAAGGTCTGTATTGTATTTTTTATTGTAATTTATATGTAATATCTTGTCATATTTTCTTATAAAATATTCATGTATGTGCACAGATGGAACTTGAGGAAAAAGTTGTGAGCAAGCGAAAGGCAGAGTATGATAGAATGAGAGCTGAGAGAGAGGAAAGACTTGGCCAAATCCTCAAGGCACGAAAAGAGGAAAGGGACCTAAAAGGGAAAATGTTGTTTATTTGAACACTGAAAAAGAAAGGCTCAACAAGCTTCGCGAGGAAGAATAAGCCCGCAAACGTGAAGGTTACTTTTTACTTTTTCTTTTTGTAAATTATATTTTGCAATTTTGGCTCGTCCCTTCCTTTTCAAGTAAAATGACCAAAATTGGAAACATTCTGATTAACTTAGGGGCCAAAAAGAGCCCTTTTACTATGGAGAAGGACCATACTTGTTACAAGAACCTCAAATAAGGACCAAATTTGCTTTTTTGGCCTAACATTGCAAAAATAGGCAATACTAAACAAATAAACGTTGCAAAAACCTCAAATACGTTAAAAAGAGCGTCATTAAAGACTGAAATTGCAATAAAACTGTTTTGGGACCAAAATTGCATAAAAATATTATTTAGGTCTAAAAATGTAGTTTATGTAAAGCTGAAAAAATCAATATCTATTTTTGCTGATCCAAACACTTTGTTTGTTTGGGATTTACAGAGGCTGAAAGGCGCAAGAAAGAGGAGGCTGAACAGAGGGCGAAGTTTGGATGAAATAGCTGAAAGGCAGAGGAAAAGAGAACAAGAACTTGAAGAAAGAGAGAGGCTTAAGAAGGAAGCTATCTTACGTGGAACACCACTCGATGACCGTTTTGAGCTTCAAAGCTAAGAATCTTAATTGAAAATTTAAATGAAAAATTGCTAATTTCCATACAAGGTAGATGATTTTATTAACATATATAAATATTTTATTATGAGAATTATAAATAATATACTTGCACTAACGGTTGTATTTGACAGAATAGCAAAGATGATGGTTCAGACAACAATTTGATTGGTCAATTTGGTGTGGGATTTTATTATGCCTTCCAAGTTGCTTGATGATAACATTATGTATCAGATAACAATTTATGTTTAAATTGTAGCATTTTGATGTATTGAATATTATTATAGTTTCTATAGAAATACTACTTTTGGTTTTATATTAATTGTATTTTTATAATTTGATATAAATAGTCGAATTCAATAACCGAATTATATAAAATAATGGTACAAAACAAGTGCTACGGAATTTGCAATAGAAAAAATGCTAAGGAATTGGCTACAGAACAATTTCTACGGAATTAGCTATGAAACAATTGCTACGGAATTAACTACGGAAAAATTGCTACAGAATTAACGATGGAAAAATTGCTATAGAATTTGCTACGGAAAAATTAATACGAAAATTGCTATGGAAAAATTGTTACGGAATTGGCTATGGAAAAATCGCTACGGTATTAGCTACGGAAAAATTGCTATGGAATATGCTACGGAAACATTGCTACGGAATTGGTTACGGAAAAATTGCTACGGAATTTGCTATGGAAAAATTCTACGGAATTTGCTACGGAAATGCTATGGAACTCAAATTGTAACGGATAGATGTCGTAGAAACTATCATAGCAAAATTGCTACGGAATTATAATTTCGTAGCTAAACAGTTTGCTACAAGAAATAAAGCTACGGAGTCTAATTGAAAATTTACGTAGCAAATTCCGTAGTTATTTGGCTTTAGCTACGAAATTTCATGTTTTTGCTATGGAATTTTTCCGTAGCTAAATCGAAATTTTCTTGTAGTGTAAAAGGAGTAGTCAACATTACGACATATCACAATCCAAACTTAATCCATCATATCCATTAACTTTATCACTTATATATATATATATATATATATATATATATATATATATATATATATATATATATATATATATATAAACGAATACAATATCCAGTTTATAATTAAAAAACACATCAAACAACTTTTTTATATGTTAAAAAAATCAATGATGACAAATGAAATACATAAACCATTGTTTGAGGTTCAACGACAATACTTACATATTTTATTGCAATAATCCGTAACTAATCCAGTTTTTGTCACTTTTTTGTTGTTTTGAATGCTGATTTCGAACAGAAAGAAAAGATGATATATATAAAAAAATATATACTACAATTGTTTAAAGTAAAATGTTATAGTTCAAAACAAAAACGAAAAACATAAGACCGTAAATCTACTAAGTTGTAATATAATAACTTAATTATTTAAAGTACAATGCTATAAAAATAAAAAGTAGGTTTTTTAGTTACTTAATCCATCATATCCATTAACTGTATCACTTCAATATCTATATTTACAAAAATAATAATAATAATAATAATAATAATAATAAATACAAGATCCAGTTTATAATTAAACAAAAAACACATCAAACAACATCTTCTTTATATGTTAATATAAAATGTTATAATACAAAACAAAAACGAAAAACATAAGATGATAAATCTACTAAGTTGTAATCGAATAACTTAATTATTTAAAGTCCAATGCTATAATAATAAAAAGTAGGTTTTTTAGTTGAAGTATCTTCCTTTATTTTCCTTTTAAATCATCAAGAGCCTAGAAATACCCGCCTGAAATTGATTTAGAAATTAATTTCGGATTTTCCCCGTTTTGGGACTGCTTTTTGAATACTTTATCTCATTTAGGATGTGAATGTGTGTTACATGATTGATTGTTTAAGAAAGATTCGGTTTTTATTTTCTCTTTGCTCCTCGAGTGTATATTTGTATATATACTTAGGAGCTAAGGGAAAATACTGTCGAATTTTTCTTAAACGGTCAGTCAGGTAATACACATTCACATATGAGGTAATGTATTCAAAAAGTGGGTTTAGAAGCCTAACCTTGTGAATACTCTATCCGGTTGAGCGGTTACTCTATCCTTATAAATATCCAATCCTAATGTTAGTTCTTTTAGAATATACACACTAAAACGTAACTTATGTTTCAGTTGCAACATGTCTATTGATAAAACCTGGACTATTTTAACGTAACTTATGTTTCAGTTGCAACATGTTTATTGATAAAACCTGGACTATTTTTGAAAATCATAACTCTACCGTGTTCCAACAAGGACTTGAATCTTTTATTGAGAGGTCCAAACCACACGTCGATAACAAAGGTCAAATCAGATGCCCATGTACCAAATGTAATGTCAATAAATTTATACTACTTGCCATAATGAAATTCCATATACTTCAACATGGTTTTAGTCCACATTATACTATATGGAAGTATCACGACGAAAATACAGTTCATCCGGTTGTCGAAGACATACCGCGTAGTAACGAGATGGTCGATGTTATTGCTGATGTTATGGGGGTGTCATTGAAAATGATACCAACCGCGACGAACGGAACCTGGATACAAAGGGTAGCGGTGTCGATGATGGATTTCAAAAGCTGTTAGAGGAAGTCCAATTAAAATTATATCTTGGATTTTCGTTTTCGTCCTTTGACTTTTTAGCAAAGCTGATACATATCAAGGTGATCAACAATTGGACTGATAGTTCATTCGATCAGCTTCTTGAGTTGTTGCAAACTGTATTTCCTAAAGGAAACAGGGTTCCCCCATCACATTATGAAGCAGAAAAGACACTTAAAAAGATCGGCTTGGGTTATGAGTCGATGCACGTATGTAAAAACGACTGCTTTCTTTTCTGGAAAGATCACAAGTTTTTGAAAAAATGTACAATTTGTAATGAGAGTCGGTGGGTTAATGAAAATACAAAGGGTAAGAAGCTGGCTGATAAGGTGTTACGATACTTTCCCGTGACCCCCAAATTACAATGTTTGTACCATTCTAGACACACAGCTAAAGACAAGATTCGACATAGTACCGGACGATCCAAAGATGGTACGATGCTTCATCCTGTTGATGGTACTTCATGGAAAAAATTCGATATGAAGTATCCTAGCTTCTCAAGGGAACCTCGAAACGTATGCTTAGGGCTTGCCGCTGAGGGTTTTAATCCGTTTGGTAACATGTGTAATCCTCAAAGCACGTGGCCCGTCATACTCACCACTTACAATCTTCCACCATGGCTATACATGAAAGAGTCATCCTTCATGTTGACCTTGTTGATTCCTGGCCCCAAAGCACCCGGGAAGGACTTGGATGTGTTCCTTAGGCCGTTGGTGGATGAGTTGAAGAAGTTTTGGAGTTTTGGAATACGTACTAAAGACGCAGCGACTGATACATTCTTCAATATGAAAGCGATTTTGTTATGGACAATAAACGACTTTCCAGCTCGTAGTAGTTTATCCAGTTCGAGCGGGCAAGGGTACAAAGCTTGTCCGACTTGCAACGAAGACACTCTTTCATACTGAGTATCAAATAAAGTCATATATGTTGGTCATCGCCGGTTCTTAGATGCTAACCATCCATGGAGAAAAATTTTGGACTATAATGGCGAACACGAGACAAGAGGACCTCCAAGACAGTTTAGTGAGGAAGAAATACAAGAACAACATGCTCGTCTATTGTTTCACCCACCAGTATTAAGAGAGATCGTGAGGATTTCGAGTTGAATTGGTCTAAAAAGAGCATATTCTTTGAACTTGAGTATTGGTCTTCTCTATAGCTGAAGCACAACTTCAGTCTTATGCATATTTAAAAAAAAATGTAGATGAGAGTCTTTTGGGTACTTCTCTGATGAATGATAAGTCTAAAGACACATCAAATGCTTGGGAGTACTTGAAAAAACTGAACATTCAGATGAGTCAATGGTTGAAAAAGAGTGGCAACAAGTTCCTTAAACCCCATCCACCTTACTCGTTCACGAAACCTGACCGCATTCTTTTTTGTAAGTTTATAAGAGATGTGAAACTGTCAGATGGGTTTGGATCTAACATCAGTAAGAAAGTGAATGAAACCAATACTAACATTATTGGGCTGAAATCTCATGATTATCACATTCTTATGCAACGTTTGATACCCATTGGAGTTAAAGGGCTTTTGGGAAAAGGCGTTTATACACCAATAGTAGAACTTTGTATGTTTTTTAAGCAACTTTGCTCAAGAATGGTATCTGTGAAGGATATGAAAGAAGCAAAAGCAACCATTATTAAAATATTGTGCAAATTAGAAGTGATCTATCCTCCTGCATTTTTGACATTATGGTTCATTTAGGTCTGCATTTACCCGATGAAGCTATTTGCGGAGGCCCAGTATGTATGAGATGGATGTATCCCTTCGAAAGGTATATGAAAAAACTAAAAAACTATATCAGAAACAAGGTGAGGATGGAAGGTTCTATAGTTGAGGGTTATGTCGCTGAAGAGGCATTATCATTTTGTTCGATGTACCTTGAAGATGTCAAGACTCAATTCACTCGCCTCGAATGAAACGAGGATATTGTCATAGAAGAAAAAAAGTTATGGGTGTTTCAGTCTAAGTGTTGACCGGATAGCACAAAGAAAATGAAAAATCTCAGTCTAGAGGAGAGAAAACGTCTACAATGGTTTGTGCTTGATAGTTTTGACGAAGTCAGAAAGTATATTGCGTAAGTGTTCTTATCTTTTAATTCATTGTCTGTTTTTAATTTCTCATTTTTTTTACTAAATCTACATATTTTTTTCATCAATGTAGTGAATTCAATCATTACATCCTGAAAGTGATGAAAAAACCGAATTCCTTAAATGGTTCCTTCACAAGGTCTATGATATGCAAAAACCAAAATCTCCAGAGTTTAACAAGGAGTTATTGGCTCTTTCAATTGGCGCGCATGCGAATGCCTTTACTTATACCGCTTGCATAGTGAATGGTGTTAGGTTATGGTACTTATGCATGACGCCCAACGATTAACACAAAACTCGGGGGGGGGGGGGGGGGTTCTAACTGCGTGAGAGAATAAGCAAAAATATTATTGTCAGCTAGAAGAGATTATTGAGTTGCATTATCCTCATAAATATTCCACTGTACTTTTTAGTTGCAAGTGATTCGATACTGCAGGAGTTAAATCTGATAATAATTTCACCAGTATCGACCCACAACGCGAATTCAGCAGCGAAGATCAACTCATATTTGCTACGCAGGCCAAACAAGTATTTTACATCCAAGAACATTCTCGAAGTGACGAAAATGTCAACCAACGGTGGGTTGTTGAAAATATTAGTCATAGAAGAATTTGGGAT